TGCTCATATGCTCCACTGGGCAGGCAGGGAAACCCCTTTGACAAGAAACGTGACGGGTGTTTTCTCACTGGGTTTGCAGAGATAGGGGTGATAACTTTCTGGGAGGAAATTTCCTTGTTTGAAAGATAAAGTCAATTTTGGTGTTGCCTGTGGTCTAGAAAGCGGAGGGAATTCCACAGGACTCTGGAGTGGAGGACTCGGGGCACCTCCCCCCGGGCAGCCACCTGGCCCCTTCTTCCTGTTCCATGGTGGGGTGGGGAGCCTGTGGCCATGACCCTGGGGCAACCCGGCCAGTGCTCACCTGCCCACGAGTGAGGCTGGCTTCCGGAGAGACGGGTGGACAGTGGGCCCTGCGACTTCTGCGCCACCAGCGTGGAGGAGCCACAGGCCAGGACGTGGCTTTCACCTTGGCCTTGGGTGGGGAGTGCATCTCGCTGGAGACCCTGTCCTTCTGAATGACCGACCGTCCCCTCACTGGCTGAGGAGACCACTAGTCAACTGGAGTCCTGTGGGTGGGCAGCCCCTTGTCAGGCCAGTGTGGTACCACAGGCAGTCTTGACTTGGGGAGGCAGAGGCTTAGGGCTGAACATTTGGCTTTCGGGGAACTGTGTCTCCATCTGTGAACAGGCACGCTGGTTACGCCTGCTGGTGCTGAGCCGGTCTGTCGGTTCCCGAAGGTTGTGTCCAAAGCAGTTTGTGTCTGGGCGCTTCCTGCCTTGCTTGACCTAGTCAGAGGGGAGCAAGGGTCCCGGTGGGACAGTGTCCAGGGGACTGCGTTGATCCTGCCCACCTGGTGGCACATGCTTCCCTGCCCAGGTGACACGCATGGCAGGGGTCCAATCTGGGAATGAGAGCTGTTCCCCTCGAACCATCCCCACCACCACCTTGGACTTGTGACGTAGCAGAGCTGGGGGCGCAGGTGGAGCTGCCTGGGGGAGTCTCAGGCCTGCGAAGGGCTCCAGTCCTGTTTGGATCCACACAGAGCACGGAGCATGTGGCCCCACCAAGTGAGACTGGCAGTGTCCTCAGCTCAGGCACCAGGGTGGGGGCTTCTGGTTGCATGCAAACAAGCCTTCAGTTTCTTCCTTGCCTGTGTGCAGTTTTATGAGTACTTCTGGGGAGAATGAAACCATTCTTTTCGTCGCTTTCTTTTGAAGTCCTGAAAGGCTAGATTTTGCCTTTGCAGTGATGCAAAGAGCAGTGTGGTCCAGCTGTGAGGCTATGTCATTGTTGTCTGAGCCGATAAATTCCAGAGTTTCAGGGCTCTGCTGAGGAGGCAGGGCGGCCTGCCTCAGGGCTGCCCGGTGTAAAAGTTGGCATTCTCTGTGTTCTGCGTTTCCCCAAATAGATGGCAAAGCAGCCCTTGAATGATTTATTGACTTGTCAGAGTCCAAGTTAAGAAAATCATTGTAGGGTTTCCAGTAATTATTTTTAAGTCAAAATAGGTGCTTAAAAAAAATTGTGATAAAATACAGGAAACTTTACCACTGGCGACAGTGCATTCCCAGTGTTGGACAACACTGTTGTCAGGAGACTTAGTCAGGGAGGTTCCCATTGAGTGAAGTAGCACACGGGACTTTTTTTATTTTGCAGAAAATTTTCTCATTTGAGTTGTAGCTAGGAGTATTTCTTCTGTGTTTCTGCTCTGTGACTGCTCTCGTGTTAGGTTTCTTTTGATCTTTCCGGTATCACTCAGGCATGGGGATTATGAGTGATCTTCTTTTTTTAATGGTTATGGCATGTAGAAATCTAGTTCCCTCTCTGGGGATTGAACCTGAGCCAGCAGCATTGGGAGCAAGGAGTCTCAGCTGCTGGACCCCCAGGGAAGTTCCATGAGTGGACCTCTTGAGCATGTAGGTCCCTGCCCTCCCTGTGCTGTCCATGGTTTTGGGTCCCGGGCAGAGCATCTGTGTGGGTCTCTGGGCAGGGCTCTCCTGACATCTGTGACGCTCAGTGCTGCTCTTCCAGATGTGGAAAGCCTCGGCCAGNGCCAGCCACACCGTGTCCATCACCCCGGACGACGGGGGAGCCGACAACTGGGAGGACCGACCCCGATTTCGTGGTAGGAGCCGCCGGTCTGCCCGCCTTTCCCGTCTCCTGAAGTGGATCCTCCCAGGTTGGTGGGTGGGTTGGTGGGGGGCTGTTTTACAATCCAGGGTGTGGGGTGTACTCGTTCTTTCTTTTCCTTTTCAGAGTGACGTAAGTGAAAAAGGGCAGAGACGGGGGACCAAGGCCGTGCCAGGATCTGGGCACCAGGAACACATCAAGTAAGAGACTTTCTCGATCTTTTTGTGACAGTGACATTCTGAAATGTGAAGGGGTGAGGTGGGGCACGCTCCCCGCTGAGTAGCGCGAGTGCCTGCTTCTGTGGGCTGGCCCTGCTTCTGCGTTGTCTGGTCCCTTGTTTACACAATAGATAAAAACGAGGTCTGACATGTGTATCCGTAAGTGTGTGTGTACGTGCGTGTGTAAAGATGTGCTCAGTAACTTTCAATCCTCATTACCCATGTATGTACTTGTTACTCTCCAGTCTGGTTTTCAACCTTGTAGTTTTCATCCAGGAACACAGTTACTTAAGCTGTTCTCTGTGCGGAAGGGAGAGTTCTAAAGCATGGGCTGTCTTTGAAGACCTGAGATCAAAAACACCCCCTCCTTAATGTGTATTATTTTGTTATAATGTTATTATTCTGTTGTTATCAGTTGAATACCATGAGCTGAATCCTGAACTTCATGTTGTCACGAAGGTCGAGATACACTATACACAGCACGGATTGTCTCTGACTTGACCCATCTTAACTCGCCGCCTCCGGGGCAGCTTTTTTTCTTGTTGGGAAGTGTAGATAGTGTTCTTCCCCAGCTCATCAGGGGCTTGGGAGGTGGCCAGTCCTGGCTGGTGTTCTGAGCGATACATGTGGGATTGTCATCCGGATGTGGAGTGAGGTGGCCCTCCACCTCCCTGGGTGACAGCTGCCTGGCCTGCCTGGTTCTGTCTGCATCTTGTGATCTGTCCCGCTCTTCCTAGCGCCTGAAGTGAATATGGCTTTTACATCTTAAGTTCTGCAAGCCCTCACTTCACCTTTGAATGGAAAGCCAGGGTGCTTCATGTCGAGAGAAACCGTCTGAATATTCCACATCCCTTGGTTCCTGGCCTCGGGTCGTCCAGGTGCAGGCCTGTTGGCTCTGTCTCCCATTTTCCTCTGGTGACGTTTATCGAGCTGACTCTCCCGGTTCATGTGTCTGGTGAACCCCAGGAGCTGTCCTCCACGTGGTGGCATGCTGTCCATGTCGTCGCCCCAGGTGCTGTAGGGGCTTGGAGATGCCTCATTGTGTGTGTTCAGACTTGCTTTCTTCCCCATTAACCTGCATCTGACTCTGAAAACTGCTGGAGTTGGGGGCAGCTGGAGGTGCAGTAAAGTGAACACAAGGGAGGCCGGGCTGGGGAGCCGCCGGGGAATGACACCTCACAGACTGCAGAGATAACGTCCTCCCAGAAAGCACAGACACATGTCTCGGCTGTCTGTCTGACCGATTTGTTCATCTTCCATCGGTTCCCTCCCAAGTATCCACAAGTTGCGGGAGACTGTGTTTCAAGAACACCAGACCCTCAAGGAGAAAGAGCTGGAGATGGGACCAGAGCCTCGCACGGCTACGGAGGGAAGTTTGGCGTGGAGCAGGACAGGATGGACAAGGTAAGTGCCGACCCACATG